AAAATCTTAAAGTGCTCTACTCTACAAATAGTCTAGTCAAAATAACAGAGCCAAATAATTAAAATAAGTTAATTAATACATAAATGTCTGTTACGTATTAATTATTACAATATTCAAATCTAAAGACCATCAGTGTAAGAACATAACTAATACGAATACGAAGCCTGTAACAGTCTAGCTTGGATCTTAGTTATTTATACATATATTGAATTTCGCGTGAATTTATATACTAATATATGTAGCCCCCCCCCCCCAAACTGCGCGCTAAACAATTGTCGGTCTTAAAACGCAACTCTAGTAAACTACCGTAGTACTATTACGAATTAAATTAATTAACAATTTAATAACTAATGCTCTTTTTTTGGCATCTTATATCGATGTTAAACTATATTAAAATCTGAAAATACTAAATCTGAAAATAATTCTTCTTATTGCGAAAAGTATTACCTCGGGAGTCAAACCCGGATCACTTGCTTTACGCGCAAGTGTCCTAATTATTACAATTTTATAATTTATGTCTAGTGAAATTATAATAAAATTTCATCAATTTATCTAATATTACAGCTAAATGAGGCGAAATATTCATTATAAAGTTTAATGAAAGAATAAAAATTTGAACATTACGTAATGGAAGAAAATCGCAATGAGAAATTGCTAAAATTATTGCTCGTTATAGGAAAATGATAGAAAATATATTAAAAAAACTTAAAAATAATAAAGAAACTAAAGGTTTAAAACGAAAAACTACATGTCGAATTGCTCGTACAATTATACGTGTTTCTACGATTAATCTGTTCAAGTCATCAAATGTAATTATTATAAAAATGAACTCAATCTTCTAAACGAGTGCATGTACAGTTCGACGAAGACTCCAAAAATGTAATATAAATGGTAGAGCTACCAAGCAGTTCTATATTTAAGTTTCAAAAATGTAAGTTGCAGATTACAATTTGCAAAAAAGTACATAATTTGCAATTTTTTAAAAAAGTGTCGTGCTGCATTACACCAGTTATAGCGATAGTTTTCGTAGTTTTAACAGAATTCTATGCACTACAATCATTGTTGAACAGAGTTCCCGCCGATACGTATTTTTTTATTAATTTTTCAATATCTAGATCCAGCACTTTTAAAGTGCTGCTAAAAGTGCTATTACGGTTGCTAAAAGTATTATTTATCGTTTTCTTGTACTTCAGAGAAAAATTGTCTTGTTATAATAAAACATTCGCGAAGTTTTAACACGCTATCTTTTCAAATTTGAATTTTTAATATAGAAAGTGCGGAACTCATTTTTATTTTTATGTGCGTCAAATAGGATATAATTAATATAATGACTTAATGATACATTTGATTTTCTGTTTGAAGTAAATTCTTTCTTAATTATCAAATATATAAGCTCTCTTTCATCAAAAATAAATACATACAATTCTACAATAGAACTATGAAAAGTGCTATATTAGTTTTTTTATATTAATATAATATAAGCATATAGGACTTACATTGTCCGAACAGCGGATTTTCAGATTTTACGAGATGTGTCTGTAGACAAGGATACTCTCGGGAGATTGCCGGCCTTTTCCGAGAGAAGACTCATGCGTAAATATTTTGGTTTCTACCAGGATCGAACCCGGGACCTTTGGATTAGTGCGCTGTCTGCCATGCCACGTTCGCTTTCCCTGTATATAGTTATTAATATTAATACAGTAACAATCATAATTATAGTAATATGTAATTAGAACTACAAATATCAAATATTTTGTCTTTTAATGTATTCACTCTTATGTGGCAAGTAAAGAACGATTTTGTTGAAAGATCTAAAATTTAGATGGATACAGATTTGAAAATAATTTTATTGGACCATCAACATAATCAAAAACTAAAAAATGCTGCAAAAGGTTTTAATATTCTATATCCACTGAGTTGAATTTCCAACAGGATTATTTTGATGATCAAACAAAGTTAATTTCCGATCTGTAGCCAGCAAAATTTTAGATCTCTTAGCAAAATTGCTCTTCTTATGTAAGGTAATTCGAGGGAAGATGCCACACTCTTAAGTTTTTCTTAAGCTACAATTCTATTCTTGAATAATTTTCTAATGTTATTGTATTTTAACGTTATTATATAATCTACATATATTACAATATATTTTGAATTATATGAAACATCTATAATTTTAATTCATAAAATTGTTTTAATGATGGTATTAAGTAGGAAAAATTGTATTTTGTATTTACTGTCATCTACCAACTGTAAGAGGAATATTCAATTACTTTTATGCATATAAAATTATTAAAAATTATAATCTATCAGCCACATAACTGCCAGGAAACATTGTTCAAAACCATAAATCATTTGTTCGGTTTTACAGTAAGCCTTTTGAAGTACAAGCCTTAGTTATTATCGTATTAAATACACATATTACAAGAAATATATTTCATTATTTATCTTTTTGTATTTTGTTAAATATTTTTTATGTCAACAGGCATGAATTTTTTGATAATGGCGCTTTTTTGCCCATTGCCTATTACATACTTCTACGCAGTCAGAATAATCAATATAAAAATATAAATAAAGTGACATCTTCCCCCGAATTACCTTTTTTATAAATATTATAAATGACAAGTATTGAAGTATATTAAGTCATTTTTAATTATATCTAAAAAAAAGTGAGATAAACTTATTTAATTATACACACATTTAAAAATATAATTAAGTTAAAAATCTCTGTTTAAGCCAAAACGCGATCAGTTATTAAAATTAATGCGTTTCAATCAATAATTTAAATTATTTAAATTGTTAATTGTTCATGGATGAGATACTGATGATGCATAATTTTTCTTTTATTATTATTTTTAAGAACATATTAAAATTTGAATCTCTTATGATATATTCAAGATGCAATTATAATATATCGCGAGAAAATATCTTCGTTTCGTAGAAAAAGTTTTTTCAATAATATTTCCTGATTGATCAATTAATAATTGATGCGCGACGGAGTAGAAGCAGTATCGACCATCTGGAACCGAGGTGATCAGAACTCGTCTTCGAAAACGAACAGTACCTCCATTAAAATCGAGCGAGGAAAGGACGACAAAACCTCCGTTGCACAATGGCCCCCGTGGTAAGCTCTATATAGAGAATCCGTTGGAGTTCGAAGGAGGACTCGTCTCTTCAGGAAGTCAGAGGAGACGGGAAAGCGATAACAAACCGTCCGTTCAATGGCGGCGGCTGGGACAAGACTCTGAGAACGCCATCGTCGAAATGGAGGATATCTCGAGAGTCGATGTGCAATGGACTCCGTACCGCGTTCATACCCGGCCACAGCCGTCGGCGCGACGTATACGTGGTGAAACGCGAAAACTCGAATACGCTCGAACGTAATTTTCGTGTCGATTCCATCGGCGAAACTTTCATCGAAAGCTATCATTTATCGGAGCTTGCGTACACAAATTTGATATTTCTTCGGTTAAGTCTCAGATTAAATCTCCGTTAGGCCAAGACGAAATTGACTGAAAAGTAAGATCGTATATTATATCTCTGTCATTTGAAAGCCTAATCGAATGAAATCTTTCGATCCTTAATGTTATCCCTAATGCTAAATCGTTTTTCGATTAGACTAACGGATCTGTTAAAATCTCTGTCCGAGAGAGAATCGATTGTAAACTTTGTCGAGGATTGTGTGTGCACAATTTCCACATTTAACGATATACCCTGTACAATCAGTCGTATCTGGCATTTGTAGTCGGCAAAAGAAGATTCGGTCGGGAACAAATACCGTTTAATGCTTTCAAGCGTACTAGTCTCGGAGTGAGCTTTGACTTTTAGATACGCAAGAGCACAAGTGAGATTAAATCTCTGTCGATAATCGAAGCTTGTAATAGTGGAAAATGCGAATAAGGACTATGTATTTTTATCGAACGCATGTTTCATTTAAAAGTGATAAAAAGATTTTTATTATTAATTATTAAAATATAATATTATTTTTATTAAATTTCTAATATGAAGTAAGAGCCTATAGTTAAAAATATACCAAGCAGAATCACACCTGAAAAAAAGAAATTGGAGTATCTGTTAAACGCTTCTATTACGATGTCTATTAAAGATTTGTTTAGCTCGCTCTGATAAATAAAAGAGTATAGGTACATAAAAGAGAGTATAGAATAGAATTGAATTGGCAATTGAAAAGGTGAACAATTAAAACAGAATTAAAAGAAAAAACTACGTGAAAAAACATGCTTTATTATAAAAATTTTTTAAATAATAATTTTTAATGTTCTTCAAAGTTAAAGAACTTTTGAGCAGCTTTTAAATATAAGTGGTAGTATAAGTTTATAAAACTTTTAATAATTTTTAAATTTATATCGCAAATTATTCCGATAATTTTTCATTGCAGAAAAGTTTTAAATAAGGTAAAAAAATAAGATAAGTGTATCAAATAGGATAAAATTAATACCATAACTTAATAGTATTATACATTTGATTTTTCTGTTTAAAGTAAATTCATTTTTAATTAACAAATAAGCTCTCTTTCGTCAAAAGTAAATACCATTTTTATAAAAGAAATTTTGTCTTTATTCTTTATTAATTTATCATCAATCATAAATTAAAAGTTAACTTACACGATTTTCATTTCTTTATAAGAACAAAGCATAACGCGGAATTCAGATGAATTTTTCGACGGGCAAATTTTTCGCAATGGATCAAGCATTTTGGAGTTGCAGTACTTTACGCATATTATTATATTTTAAGCACGAGCTTTAACATTTGTATAAAGATTTTAATGGCGGATAGACTTCTTGGCAGTCTCAGCCTTGGCATTCAAGCTTTGTAAGAAGAACAAAGGATAAATGCATATCGGATAATGTTCCCGAAACGGCATTCTTCAAATTCTAAATAAATTCATCTGACTTGCTATTGTTGTTTGCTTTATTATTTATTTATATTTATATATATTGTATATATGTACACAATATGTACATATATATATATATATATGTACGTGTGTTTGTGTGTGTGTGTGTGTGTGTGTGTGTGTACACGTATATTCTTACAAATCATATAGAAAATTGCTAATTGCGAATATCGAGTTAAAAATTATACGCGTATAATGTAGCAAGCAGTGGTATATTGATTACACCGCACGTTATTATGTAATCAATAGTAAGGTACTCGTTAGTGGTAGAAATAAGCGAGAAATAATGAATTGGATGCAAGCTCGTTAATTCTCTATTATCGACATCGCCTCATCACAAATAACCGCCTTCCCTTCGTGACAGCAAATGGGCTCGGTGCTCTCCAAACCAGTGGATGTCCAAAGAGCCATATTACACGATTTCATATATACAGCCACCTGTGGAAAAGCAAAAAGATGAAATAATAAAACGCGTTGTTTTATTGCTGCGAAAATTACCATCTAAAAAAAACATTAACAGAACGAAATAGCCCAAGTGATGATCATATTTTATTCGCGGAAAATATTTTTTATTATTTTTGTTCGAAACTTCAATCACATTTATCTATTACGTGCTTACTTTTCGGCAGTACGTGAAAATGAAAATTAAAGACAGAATTAAGTAGATAATTTTCTAGTTTTTTAAATTGAAACTAATTTTATGTACGTATTATAATATAAAAAGTTTTACAATAAAATGTATTAAATAAGTTACCTTCAAGTTTTCGACATGGGTCTTCAGCTTTTCGCAAATCAACAGTGGTGCTTTATCTCGAACATTTTCAGCCTAAAAGCATAGAAAATTGATTTTAATATTTCTTTTTATTTTTATTTCTTTGTTCTCTTCAAGCCACTAAATATACATTAGGTCTGTTCTTTTTAGCTAAAGTTCTCGCACGTTTTATCTTTCTTCCTTTTTTATCCTCTGGAAAAAAAAGAAAAAAGGATGAACTGTGCAAGAAGTTCAGTTAAAAACAACAGGCCTATTGTTTGAAAGTACAGTATATGTTATTGCCGGTCTAAAATTATTTACGTTTATATATCCTGATTAGAAAATAGTATTTTACTAATTAATAGAGTCATGTAACAGACAGCAGAGATATCAAAGAAATAGTAGTACTCACCAAGGCGATACATAATTGTTGACATTTTTCTGTGCCTTCTTGATCGCAACTCACATTGTATTGTAGTCTGTGTTCTATTATTGACTTCGTCCCCGGAACTGGAAACACTGCGCAACTGCATACATCCCCCGAAACTTCCTCTTGCCTGAGGTAAGATACAATTTCTTTTAAAGTGCAGCAATATTGCAATAATTGTGAGATCAATTGCGAGAAGAAAATATTACGTTTCACAGAAAATTAGATTTATGTAAGTTAATTTGACGTTAATTATTTCAAAGAGAAAAGAGCGTATACTTAGACTACATTAAATGAAAAGATTGACTGCTACAGTAATTTAGATGGTAAAATATGGCGTAGCATTTTTAATTGGCTGCAGCATCCAATTTCTGTTTGCAGCAACCAATTAAAAATGCCATATTCAGTCAATCTTTCTTTTCAGTGTAGTCACTTTGTATAATCAGTGTAAGATTATCAATCTATTTGTCTATGTATTATCGTGATCATATTGCATTGCATTAATAGATGCATTTATTTGGAACTTTCGAATATAATTATATTATTTAATTATAATTTAATCCTCTCATATTTTTTCATTTTTTCACTATTGCATTCACAAGGTTTCTGCTAAAAGTATAAAAGTCAAAACAAAACAAAATCTGCAGGACTGTTCTTTGTTATTTGAAGGATGAGGTTTTTGAAGCGTCCGCGTCATAACGAAAAATTCGCACGAAAATGTAAAAATGTTTACTGTTTAAAAATCGATATAGGCACCGAGATACATCGACAAAAGAATAATTACTGTATAATTATAGTATACATATAATTGATATATACAATTATATTATATAATAAATATATATACATTCATGTAAATGTAATTTATTATATATTATTTACGTGAACTAAAAAAGAAATTGGCTGAATATGGCGCATAGCATTTTTAATTGGTTGCAGTATACCCAATCTTTTCTTTCAGTGTGTATATATTATATATATAATTTCTGTATTATAGTTATATTAGTTACAAATATAATCGTAATTAAAATTAGAACTTAATATATTAAGAAATTTGCAATAGCATGCCTTTTTGCAAGCCGAAATACTTAAATATTCGTGATGTCGTTATCTTACGTCGTGAGAGGCAAGAATGCCATCAGGAGAAGGAATCGTTCCGTTGTCTTCATCGTACACCTCAATTTACACCTCGTGTTCGAGATCGTTACGAATAAACCGCGATTATCACGGACGATCGAGCTGCACGCGGCATATGTAGACTCGCATAATCACCCCGCTTATCCTCTCCCTTCGTACGTATATAAGTGCGCACGGTGGAATGCACGCGTAATCATGCGATACCATTGTTAGTCGCAGGCGTCCTCTTCGCAATGGTTCGAATTTTACGTCGATATCCAAGCTCGGCGTTCCTACAGAGATAATAGCCGTCGCGATGCAACCCGAGAATACCATCGTGCATTCGCTGGCGTTCGTTTCGTCGACGTAACGTTATCAGCCACGAAAAATATACGCGGAATTCCTATTAATACCAGAACGATGTTGTTTTGGCATTTTATCGATCGATCCTTTTTTTCTCGTAACATCTGCTCTCAAAATTGCATATTTACTTGCATCTTTCGACGCCTATACTCTCTAGAAGATTCCTTGATCTTCGATCGTCCTAACTCCAGACCTACTTGTCTCTCGAAAAATGTTCCCTGGGAGATTTTCCTGCAAACTGCACGTGTCCTCGAAATATATTGATAAAATATAAATACGATATAAATAAGTGAAATAGCTTCTGGAAACAGAAAATGATACGTTACTCTCCGAAAGGTTCCTTGATCTTCGATCGTCCTCTCTCTAACTTCAGAACTACTTACTCCTCGAAAAAGTTTTCTCTAGGAGATTTTCCGGCAAATTGTGGTCTCGAAGTATAGATAAAATATAAATACGATATAAATGAAATAGCAAGTAAAAATAAAAACAGAAAATATAATGCGCTGAAAATACTCATATTATACATGGTATAATATATACTTTTATGTATAACTAATTAGTATTTTATCATCACAGCTTTTAATGTACATTAATATTTTGAACCGAGTTTATTGTAAATTTTGCAAAGAATATATATATACAATATAAAATATAAATATATACATATATATTGTAATATAAATTTACAACATCAATGAAAAGTGTTTATATAACAGCATAAAACAGAAAACATACGTTTATTTGCATATAATAATTTTCACTCTACAAGTATAGAGTTACGAGATATTGACGTTATACATTTAAATTAATATTAAAAACACAAAAATGTTATGTAATGTTTTAAAGCTATATACTTTTTATATGCGAAATTCGACTTTTGACAAAAAAGGTTTTCACTATTTATTAATTAAAAAAAAAATCCATTTACAATCTTTCCTAAAATCTCTTCGTATTGACTCAAGTATTTAAATATTTTAAAAAGATATTCCACTTCGCTGTTAGTCAAATTATTCTTTTTCGTGTTAAATAACAAAAAATTAATTCTATCAAAGTATTTATTAAAATATATACAATAAGATTAGAATTTGATTTATTTGAATTGAATTTAAATATGAAGATATAATTATAAATGCTCACGAAATAGTGGAAATATTGCTTAATAAATTAATTACTATATTCAATTAATTGGAGCTTAATTGAGAAATTGTCCATTGTTATATATATATATATATATATATTATTAAATTATATTTTCAACATTCCAAACGAGAATGCAATGCATAGCAAAACAAAATAACAAAGAATATACAATAAAAGAACTAATATATTGCTAATATTAAGCTGATTGAAGTTTGGAACGTTCTTGGAACGATTTTTTCAAAACGATAATATTATTAAATTATCAAAATTAATATTACTAAAATTAGTATATTTAATTACATAACAATAAAATAATAACGTATTTGTAATTTATTTTTTCAATATTGGCCAAGAAATTTTATTGTTTTTTCTTTTCTTGCGACCGCAGTTCAAGGTTCAGTAGTGCAACCTAGAGAGTCTCTAGTGCAACTACGTGGTCGGCGTATCGCCGTTTGCGCAACATGTAGTAGGTAGTCCATTCTGAAGATCCTCTAATAGGCCACAGCACAGATTTTTGCATAACGCATATTATATAGAGTATAAGAGAATCAACTAATCGGAATTGCTCTTCTTCGTGAAATGGAAGAGAAGGAAAGAAATTTTCATTGGTTGATTCTCTTATGCATTATGCGTTATGCAAAAGTCTATGCTGCGACCTTAATATAAGTATAAAGATAATTTTCCAATTATATTTAATTTACGTGCATGTTTATAAAAGAAATGCAATTCGATAATTTTCTTTATGTATATATTATGTATATGTTATGTAACTATGTTTGTGTGGATATGCTCTAAAGCCTATGAGCCCAGACACAAGCTTTTGCATAACATATAGTGCATAAGAGATTCAGCCAATCAAAGTTCTTCTTTTCCGTGAAGTGGAAGGAAAGGAGGAATTCAGATTGGTTGATTCTCTTATATACACTATGCATTATGCGTTATGCAAGAGTCTGTGCTTCCCGTCTTAGGAAACCAGCACACACTCTTCGCAACAGTAATTGTGATGTAAGGATTAGCCAATTGACACAATTACTAATATACTGCAAATAATAATAATACTTAAACTAATAAAATAATACTAATACTTAAACTTCTATAAGGGTACATTTTATGTTACTTTCAAATTTCGTCAATATATAATTAAAATTATATATTTTGAAGATATTAACAAATGAATTTCTTTACACTACGTATCGAAATAATGCATTCGACGAGAATTTTTAATTTAACACTTTTTTTACAAAATTATTTGAAAAATTAAAAAATTTTATTGGGTATCAAAACAAAGTTAAAATTGCAAATTGAACAAGTTTGTTAAAATATATTTATAACTTTTTAGTACCTAATAAATTTACTGTAACTTTTATATACATTTCAAGATACAAAAAATCAATATTCTAGTACGTAAGAAGAAAAAATAAAAAAATGTTTAGTACTTTTGACATTTATTTTACAAAAATATTGTGCATCACCACCACCATCATATTTTTTATACGTGTATTTACATGTGTGGTCCGTTAAGTCAATGGCACACGATACTTGTTTTCCAACTGGATTGCTAGCTGGATTACCCAGTGAGAAATGACAATGGAATCGACGTCGAATCGTCTCATTAGGCAGAGTCTCGTCATTGTATTGACTGCGATGTTGGCACTGTTGTTACCATAGCCAATACGGTGGCAAGAATCTAATCCAGCTAAAAAACAAGTATCGTGTACCGCAGGCTTTATTAATACTAGTTTAGATTAGAGATGCATTAAGATTAAACAGAGATACAATATATTTCATTCTCCATTATAGATTTTATTGAAACCATAATATAAATACAAGGATATATTTATGCGCATCGATAAATCACGTGACTATCAAATGGCCAATCAGAATTGTCATCAAGTACGTCATCATTACACGGTGAATTCAAAATTATTATAATTTCCTTACAATACGCGCATTATACCAGAAGGTTTGCGGGTTATCGCCGTGTCTTTCTTCATTATTAATCGAAGAAAATACCCGTGAAAGCCTCAAAAGCGTAATACGCGCATTATAAAAAATTAATATTTCGCCATTTTTATAAGCGTTGCATAAAAAATAACCTTTTATTGAATTTTCTGTAATACTTTAATACGCAGTACTTTATATTTAATGAAATGTTGGATATAAAGTATACGTTTATAAGTAGGTATATGTAAAGTTTTTGGATGGGAAAATTGTATAAGGCCCAGTTTCACAACTCACGATCAGCTCTTAACCGAGGTTTAACTTATTCTTTATCTCTTGTTAATTTTAGAATTGGGAGTTAGCTACTACTACGAAGCCTATAACAGTCTAGCTGAACCTTAGTTACTTATATATAATTTCGCATGAATTTATATGTAGTCTTTCTAAACTGCGCGCCGAACAATTGTCGCGATCTTGAAACTCTAATAAACTACCGCAGTACTATCACGAATTAAATTGATGAACGATTTAATAATTATTTGATACTCTTTTGGCATCTTATATCAATGTTTAACGATATCAAAATCTGAAAATAATAATTTTTTCATCACTCGTGCACGTAATGTGCCCTGTACCGCAACGCTTTTGCGTGCGGGAAATAGCCAATAGCTCAAGTTGTTGAAGTATTTCTCTAACCCCACGCAAAAGCGTTACATTAAAAGAATAGCGCAACGCAGTAATAGCTCTCGTACAAATATCATCACAGAGAAACGCGCCGACCGGAACG